TGTTGGCATGCTAGGGGTAATAAGAAATGATCTATATATTGTGATACATTGTATGATTCGCTGCCACAGTCTGATATTATTGGGCGTCCCTTGGGTAATTCCGTTTCTGGATTTTTATGTATTTTTGGTAGCGTATAGAGATGTCGTTGTCGACAGTCAGATTTGGCGGAAAGATAATCATATTGTTTTGCTGTTATATATTCCTTGTCTTGCAATTCATGTAAGATGTTGTTTATTAAAGTTGCGGTGTCCTTAAAGATGGGTTGGTCTAATTTAGTGTAATGTATAGGATTACTTAATTGTTTTTCTGCCTCTGAGATATAGTCTGCGCGATTCATTATGACACAACACGAGCCTTTGTCGCTTTTCTTAATTATTATGTTTTTGTCTTTTTTGAGGGTGTTTAATGCTGTTTTAGTTGCTCGGTTGAGATTTGTTTTTTGTGATTGTGGTAGAAGGGATGATATTTTTGTGTTCATTTCATCGAAAGTTTTTAGGATGGCTGGTGATAATGACTTTTTAGGTGGTTTCCATGTGGATTTTTCTGTGAATAATTTCTTACCTCTGCCGGGTTTGTTCCTAAAAAAATAAGTCAACGAAAGTGTTCTTTGGAAGCGATCGGTTGCCTGGGTGATGGGATCTAAGGATGTTATTGTAGGGGTTGGGATGAATTGAAGGCCTTTATCAAGAATGTTCATTTCTAGGGGGCTGAGAAGTCTGTCGCTCAGATTGACAACTGTCTGTCCTAAAGACGGCTTCTCATTCCTTTTCCCTAATCCTACTTTAAATTTCTCATCCAGCAGTTGATGATGTCTCTGGCCGTGTCCGGGCTCCAGTGGATGGCGTCGTTACCTTTCAATTCAATTTTGCCCTTAAAGTTTGGTAGTGTGGTGGCGTTTGGTGAAGGTGCAGTGCAGATCAATTGGTTGTAGCTGGTGAGGTTTTGGTAGGCGATCGGATTTTCTTGTCGGAGTCGAGAAGAAGTAGGGATTTGTGTGGTGAAGAGCTTGGTTGTTGGGTAAGCCGCTCTGGTCACCTTGAGTAGATATAGCATCTGCTCATGTATCCTTGGTCCACTTTCCTCCCTGTTGTTGAGCCCGACATGTATCACTAATTCTTCTGGTGCAGGTCCCATGTAGTTCTGGAAGATCTGTTTGATGTGGCTGATCTTGGCTCCAGAATAGCTATGGATCTCCCAGTCCCCAAGGAAGGATACAATCCTAGCCAAGTTAGAGGATCCAATAACCAGGGTCTTTGCCTTGACTGCTGGTAGGTACCACAAATCCTTCTCGTCTTTACCTTTGTAGCTGTGGGGTCTCTTTAGTGATAGGTTGAGTGAACGTCTACATCTGGTGGAAGATTTGGTGGCGATTCTAGGGTTAGGAATGATGGGCGATCTAGGGGACAGACAGTTGACAAGCGCGTTCAGTGGCGATATACATCCCGAGGAAGTAGGTGAGCCAGACATAACCCGGGGCGAACTGGTTGAACTAGCTGCACGCTTCGAGGGAGTGTTAATGCATGTGCCTTCTCCGGGGGATAATTTTCTCTTGTTGGGTGTGTTTCGTTTTGGTGTTTCCCGGAGAAGGTTGTGTGTAATGTGCATTGGTGATGTGGGAGGGTGTGTAACAGTTTTAGAGACCGTGGACAGGAGGCGATGGAACTCCGTCTTCACACTATCCTGAAGTCGCTTGTCGTAGGACTTCTTGGCCCATGCTAGGGCGTGGCTAGAGTACTCCTGTACAACATCTTTGGTAAAGTGACGTGACTTCAAGTACTCTAGTTTCTCCGCTAGCATGGCTCGGCAGTGTGTCGACAAGGAAGAGGCGACATCCTTGGCCCATTTCAAGTTCAATGTCTCAATGGTAGTGGCTATGGTAGGCGTATTCATGGCCGGCTTCACAAACTTGTTCAGGTCTTGGATCTTCCAAGTGAAACTTCTGGTTGGTGTTCTATTCTCCTGATTCTCCATAATGGTCAAGTGGTGGAGGCATTGGAGGACCTGAAAGAAGGCTTTCACGACACCTGTATTTTCTGGGGGTGGTTAGCGCTGGTTTGGTTGTCGTTTTGGTTGGCGCTGGTTTGGTTGTCGACTTGGTTGGCGCTGGTTTGGTTATCGACTTGGTTGGTGCTGGTTTGGTTGTCGACTTGGTTGGTGCTGGTAGCGGAATCCAGGTGGTGGTTGGTGGAATCCTGGTGGTGGTCGGTTGAAGCCTGGTGGTGGTCGGTTGAAGCCTGGTGGTGGTCAGTTGAAGCCGGTGTTTTCCGGTATTCAGTATAACCTGGTGTTTTCCGGTAGTTTCCGGTGTTTTCCGGTTGTTTTCCGGTGTTTCCGGTTGTTTTCCGGTGTTTAGTATTGCCGTAAAATATAGAACATGAAAAAACAAAAACAAGTATGTACAAAATCAAATTTTTGATAACAATTTGTCGCTTTTTAAAAGTCTAACGTTTTACAATATAGCTCCGGTTGAGCAAATAATTGACGTAGAGACTGGCAACGGTAATAATTTGATATGCTTTCACTCAATCAGAATGTGCATAACTATCAAAGGAACATGACAGTGTTCACATTGGATGAGATTATCGCTTTAAGAAGAGTTAAAAAAGAATGACCAGTGGGTGCAATCTCGGTTCCCTGAGAGAGGGAGGTTTATTGTTCATTTCTCTCTCTGAGGAATCACGCCGACCATTAATCAGTCTAAATTCGGTTCCTAAGCGCCTCCCGCAGTGGCTTCTGACAGGATGGATTTGTTTGAAGGAAATGCTGCCGATTATTACGAGTTACATATTAATAATCACATCATGCCATCAAAAGTTCATTTGAACTACTTTTAGCGCGCGATGTGGCTAATTCGGCGATATGAGGGTAAAATTCGTGAAATTTCTGAAGAAATGTGGGATTGAGCCGTCATCTAGGACCTATGTCAAGCGACTGACGGAGGGTACATCACGTGACATTCAAAATACCCTCTCTCTGGGAGCCGAGAATGAAATGTGTGATGAGGTTATGATAATTGATCGAAATCTATCGTTTACGTCCATTTTAGACGATCAAACTTTCTAGAATCGTCATTTGGAAACTTCTAGATTCCACGGAGGCTTCTGGAGATAGTGTTTAGAAATAATTGGAAGGTTCTGGAGGGTTCTAAAAAAATTTGAATGTTCTGGAAAGTTGTTGAAAATTTCAAAGTGTTCAGAACAGATTGTGTGTTTTAAAACTATGGAGGACTGAATGAACTCAAAAGTCTGAAGAATGGCCTAGATCTCAGCTGTAAAGATGGCAGCAGCAGGTGGAAGGCGAACAGAAATGGTATCTGATGGCGTCACGGTAGCCAAAGCTACTCTATCATTATCTTTCGAACCATCTGTATAAATTAGAGCGAAAACACCATATTTAGACCTTAAATCTCTAATGATCGAAATCGACCTTAGGTGGGGATATAGCCCACGGCGATGTGCTAAAGAAAGGAGTATTCGCTATTCTATCAAGGCTGATACCATATTCAGACAAATGAGTTTGAATGCGAATACTGAATGATGGAATAACCTTAATTTTGAGCAGATATAAATACTCATGATTTGGAAAAGATGATTTTATCTCAGCATACTACAGAACCAGCTATTGCGTATGCTGTGCCATGTATAAACTGCCACTGGAGATGTACTGATGTGCTTCTTGGTTGAGTATGGCGTCATAATCGAGTCTCGATCTTATTAAACCCCGATGTAATCTGAGCAAGAACTGCTAACCAGTCAGTATTTGATAAGACTCTCAATATATTGAGGGCTTTCATACATTTCTTTTTGAGGCTTTTTAAATGTACGGGATAATTAATAACTTCTTATCAAATATTAACCCCGGAAATTTAGTTTCATCCACAACTGGAAGGCGATTGCCATCCAAGAAAAGATCTGGATGCAAACCTCGTTTCTGACAGAAGTGCATGCAGACAGTCTTGGTTTCCCATTGTTGAAGTGAATTCAAACAAAAATGCAACTTATATTCGGTTATCCGCATGTTTCTAGAACCATAACACATCTCAAAGTCATCACAATAATGAGCGCCAATTGTACCTGGCTTAAGGCAATGGAAAAAATAACATAACATTTATCATTGCAGGATTTTTCTCCTATTGATGTTTAATGTACACTAGGGGCCAATTCGATTATGCAGTCCGGACAGTCCGGACTCTCCATTTCCATTCGTTTATTGGTCACGTGACCATTTTTGGAGAGTTCGGGTCGTCCAACCTCTCCAATTTTTCGACCGGTGCGATTGCGGAGAGTGACGTAACAAGATGGCGGCAAGGTAAGAAATTTCCTTCCAAATTTTACAAATATTTTACAAATATGAATCAGTTTCGTTGTTTTCTGACGATAATCTCACCCTACAGTCGCCTTGTAATCTTATTTGTCGATAGAATTTTGCCTCGCCTCACGTCAAATCGCTGCATTTCAGAAGCAAACATGTAATCGACTGTATGACATGTGAATCAACTTCAATTCGATTAGAGTTTCAATAGGCCTAATAAAAACAACGTCCAATAAATCGGATCATCGCCTCTAGAGGCCTGAATGAGAGATTTTATAATAACATCGTCGGCCACTTTCCTCAATTAATTAGCTACATCAGATTTAATATTGTTAATAACTGTTGTTTTTTTTATTGATTGAACACTTAAAAATGCACAAATAGTGTCATCTGTGATTTTTGTTTTATTTTGTTTTATTTGTTTTATTTTGTTTTAAATTTTTTGTTAATACTCATTTTACTTGTTCATATTTTATTTTTTATAGAGTAATTGCGAACTCACTCTTTGTATTCAAAAGCGTAACAAAGACGCCAATTAAGATAACAATTCCATTGTAATGATTTATTTTCAGTCAAGAAATAAAGTTTACATTTATAAAAATATTCCTTTGAAAGTGTTCACAATCTTTCAATATAAAGGCCGTGCTTTCTGCTATAATTGACACAACTTTAGGCAAGTTATATTTTATTACTCTCCAACAATCTGTCGTCTCAAGATGTCTCTTTTGTTAGCACCCTGAGCATCATTTTCCAAGACACCTGCTGGATTATGTCCCAGGTTATCATTTAAACCATTCTCTTCGATATTTAGACCCTCAAGGTCATCATTTGACATGATGCATACATTGTGTAGGACAAAACAGGACATAATAACTTTGATTGTTTTCTTAACTGACCTACAATTCAACAACATTAGTCTTCGAAATCGACCTTTAACTCTCCCAAATGATCTCTCAATGATTGATCTATTACTTGATAAAAGATAATTGAATCTTCTCTGTGCTTGAGTAAGATTACCATCATTTCTATAGGGTATGATCAACCAACTCTTACAAGGATATCCTCCATCCCCAATTAAATGCCTCTCGCCAAAAAGATGATTATTATCCCAGAGATCGCTGTTTCGTACAACACGACTATCATTCACATTGCCCGGCCAGCCCACACACACATGGGTATACACTGTTAGAAGTCATTCTGTATTTTTACATATAAATTGACTGGCAGCAAAGTTGCCAGTCAATTCAACTGTATTTTTACAAACACCTGTATTTTTACCAGTATTCTGTGAAAATACTTGACACTGTAAATTTACTACTGCATGTAAAAAAACTTAATATCAAGTTTTTTTAATACATTATACAGTAAAATTACATATGATTTTAACATGCAGCTACAGTAAAAATACAGTTGAATTAACTGGCAACTTTGCTGCCAGTCATTTTATATGTAAAAATACTTTGTAACATGTTGAACTGAAAACACATTTTTCAAAAAATTTCACTTCACTGGTAGATTATTTTAAAATTTTAACTGATTTATCATTAACAACACAAAATCACTTCAAACATTTTAATCATGATTAAAAAAGAACACTCCAAAGAAATTATCATTAAGGTTTATTTTTCTTCCTACATTTATTCTTTCTCAATTTAATCAAATATTCACAACAAAGTAAAAAAAGCAGTTGCCAGGCATTGCCACTAAAATAATAGTATGAAAATAAAAAGTCTGTGTAGAACTTTCTCATATGAAAATACAGTTAGGCTTATGTCCGCCAGCTGAAATCCCCAAATAAATAGATGACATACCAATTAAATATATATTTAAGTGTATTTTTAAATCAGATAATAATTGTGACCTCTAGAAGGACCACAAGCTAAAAAGCATGATTTTCTGTACAATCAAGGCGAATAACTCATTAAGTTACATGCCAATATCGAAAGGAAATGAGATCTTTGGGATATAGACCTATATTTCAAGTTTCGTCAAAATAGGAAACAAATTATGACCTTTAGAGTGTCTACAAACAAATCGTTGTTCAGAGGGACAGAGGGAAATGTAAGAGTATAAACAAAAAACAAAACTACTCATCCCAGAGTAGACATAATATAACAAAATCCTACTAACACAATTTAAAATGAATGTGCTATTTACATTGAAAATTCAATATTTAAGAATATCTGACATGTACTGGCTTTAACCACAAATCATAGGATCAAATGGATAGTGCTTTAATGCTACAACATGATCATATTTTATCTTGTACAGTGAAAGAGGAAAAGGATTTAATACATCTTTAAATTTTAATATACACAAATTTCTCCTATGTGTAAAATCAATGTTATATAGACCCAAATCAGATCTTTGACAGATATATTGTTTGCAAATTATGTAAGGGTCTCCTTTGAAAATAACACAAAGATCTACTTGTCCAAATGTTATGATACCATTAAGTATCTTTAGGACAAAAATTAAACCATTTTTGACGATAATGCCATTTGATGTGAAACTACTAGCAATTTGAATGTGAGATGATTCCCTCAATGTATCATTAATAATACACTGTACTTCAATATCAAACATAGATATTTCAACATCCGTTACATTTTCAAAACTTGCTGATAAATTAAATAAATTTCCTGCATTACAATATGCTTGTAACAATTGATGTTTCATAGCTAATGTTTTCGTAACATTGATAAAATTCTTAAAGTTCCGGACACAACGTTTGAAAAAAGTATGCTTGCTTTCAAATCTCATAGTCCAGACATGCATTAATGGACCATACTGTGTTATCAACCATGGATAATGTTGTAAGTAATGATGCTTAGGCCTTAACTGAATATCGGGAAACAAATTTGTTCGCATATCAATGTAATCATTAATTAACGATTGAAGAACACCTATTTGGTTTATAGATATCTTATAAGAGCAAATATACTCAGTTAATTCCCTCAACAAAAGAATTATTCTCCAAAGTGGATTTTCAGGGTCAATAACTTTCTCACCTATAAATACTGGAAGAAGTCTCAAAAATGTCCAATTTTGGACAGCATGTCCTTTAAGACATGTCAGATCAGTTTTTAATAGTGCTGGTCTGTTACTAGATTCACTGCCATGGAGTGACATGTGCTTTATTTGTTGATTTATGGTTTCAACATTGAACCATTTCATTTTTTTAATTATTTCCTTAAGAAATAATGTCAGATCATATTTGACCACACCTTCAAACAGATCATGTCCTATGCAGGGTGGGAGACCAGGATTACAAACATGAAATCCAAGCAAATTATGAAATAAACATTCTGACTTTATGCCCATGTCGTGTAGAAGATCATTATTTTCTATATTATGGATTGACTGGGTATATGATTGCCTGTTCCTTAGGGGTGCATATACATAATGATTGTTAACCCACAAATCTCTATTTACACAACAAAACCTACAAAAATATTTAGCATTTCCAAAATTTGTTACAAATCCTCCAATCCAATGACTACCAAGGTTGTCCCCGACTAAACAAAGTAAATTAGCTTTTACAAATATATTATTGCTTAAATAAACACCAGTAGAAAGGTCCTTAATATCTCGAATTAGTGGATCTAACACTTTGTTTCCAAAATATTCTAAGTCAGATTCTTTACATATAAGGGCTAATTGCATGTTTTCTATTTTGCTTCGAAACTGAGGATAAAAGTCAGCCAATGTAAAATAAAATCCCACCAATTTGAAAGTTTTTTTGGCAGATCCCAGCGGATTGACTATTTCGAAGGCATCCTGATACATCACTAGCTTTAATGCCGATGGGTTTTCTGAAAAATAAGGATTTCTTTTAAAGGATTCACCGTCAATTATATCAGTAAAAATATTGTCGAAACATAAATTTTGTGGGTGTTCAAGCTGATGTTTCACACTGTTATTGCTTAATAAGGAATCAAGGGTTTGTTTCAGAGGTACGTAATGATACTGACATTTCTTATTGCTGCCATTTAAGCCAAGCTCAATTGAAATTGGCTCAACTAACCCAAAAGTCTCCTTATAGAATGCTTGTCTTTTAAAATTTGATGTAAATCTGTGTTCTTCTGAATTAGAAAAAAATTTTGTTAAGAAGTCCTTATTGAATTCAGACTGGAGTATATTTCCAATGTCTGTGTTAGATCCATCAAGCCCATTCATTTTATCTTTTAAATGCAATTTCAAATTAGAAAGGGAAAGAGAATGAAGATAAGAAATATTTGAAATTATGTCATTTATTGTACTTATAGGAATTAAATGCACTGTTTCAAATTTTAACAAAGCTAAACCTAATACATGCTTAAAATCCTCAGTTGTAGTTAGTGCATTAACATCAAATTCCTCATTATCCTCATCAAACCCATTGTTGTCCAGAACTGAATTATTGTCATCATCTACTGAGATTTCATTAATTGGGTTGGGTTTAAAACTAATTTCAATATCATTATTTTGTAAACAACGATGTTTCCGTGACATATGTGAAGTAAAAGAGGATTTAACTTTAAAAGTACCAGTACATCCATGAACTGGACAGTTGATTGATTGATAATCACTAATGTGACTTTTCATATGACTAATAAGTTCTTTCCTACCTTTTAAATTCTTTTGACATTCAGGTATATTACAAACATATTCACTAACAATGACTTTATCTTTATAATCTTTATTAGTATGATTACGAGAAATGTGACTCTTAAGAGAAGTGAACCGAACAAATTTACCATTGCAATTTGGATAGCAACAGGGATATATTAAATTCTTAATATTTCTATGTAGCCGATAATGACTCAAATAATGGCTTATACTATCAACTTCCTTCATGCAAAATTGACAAATGAGATTCATTTCTTATTGGATGTTCCAAAATTCTTGGATGTTACTGACTTAAATAATGGCTAATACTATCTACCAACTTCATAAAAACAAATGAGATTAATTTCATATTTGATGTCAGAAAATGCAGAAAATTATTAAATGTTCTCAAATTCAACAATAGTTTAAGTATCTAATTCAAACCGTCGCAGCTTGGATATTAGCTGTTATACTTGAGCATTGACAGTTTCTTGTGTTCTTTCTTTTCCACCTTTTGATCCTGTTGTCAAGTTTATACCAAAACATACCCTAATGTTCTCAAATTCAACAGTAGTTTTAAGAGTCCAGTTGATCTAATTCAAAACCCCGCAGCTCTGATATTAACTGTAACACTTGAGCATTAACAGAGTTACGCGTGTTCTTTCTTTTTCCACCTTTAGATCCTCTTGTCGGGTTTATCCCAAAACATACCCTAAAAAATATCAACAAAATAATTCTTATTTTCGTTTAAATTGAAACAGAATATATACTGGGGGCAGGCCCGTAGCCGGGAAGTTGTTTTGGGGGGGGGGGGGGGCAAAGATGTTTTCGGGAGGGCAAACTAGCATGGGCATCTGCATAAATTTTTTCGCAGCTACTGGTATTTGCGGTTAAGGCTAATTGGAGCGTAGAATATTGGGGGGGGGGGGCAAGACTCAGTATTGGGAGGGCAGTTGCCCCCCCCCCCCCTCCTGGCTACGGGCCTGACTGGAGGTGCAAAATGGGAGCTTAAAAACGAAATAATGTCTTTTCATATTGTTTTCATTACAGTTTTTTTGCTCTTGCGCATGAACTATACACATCATTTTGAGTGAATTTTCCACAACATTATGATTGAATTAACCACAACATTTTGCGTAGTAAGCTACGTAAGTCACTTTCCTGTGCTCAAAGGAAACTGTTTCAATAAATTAATAGAAAAAACATTTTTTAAAACCAAATAACTTTCAAAAGAAAATAAAATTGGTATCAGATAGTCACACATGTGGGTACATCTAACGTTTCACCTTCGGAGGAAAGGTGATCACATACAAAATAAACTTCAAGAAAACAAATATATTGCATCTACCGTCGGCAACCATTCTCAATTATATAATTTGAAGTGATTGTGTGTATAGACACAAATATATTCTATCAACATCTATTTTTAGTTGTTCTACCTAATTCTTGCTAACATTTTAGGACACTACCTGATTAATATTATTTAAGAAATGTTAAAATCACTTACCGTTGCAAAAATTCTAATGAGGAAGACGCAGCCTTTAAATACTTCAGATCTAATATGTAATAAACAGCGAACATCAACAAAAGAGCATCATCCAGCTTTTCTAAGACTTGAATAGACTTACTTTCAACTATTACATGGAATAATGTGCTTGTGTATAGGTTGCCTGAAAACATGAAATATAATAATTACATCAATATTATTAAATCAATCTAGCTAGAGATTTTTTGTAATCGAGTTGCAGGACTGGAATTAACGGCTGGGTGCAGTAACCTGGTTACAGATGGTAACCTGCAGGAATTGAGAAGTAAAAGATCAGTATTTAATAAAATTTGGGAATGAAAACTGTTTTTCTTTTTGTTTTGTTAAAATTTCATTAATATTGTACATGAACAGATTTTGTAACACAAACAATATATGAATCAGTTCTTAACCCTGTCTATGTACACACACTTACAAGTCAAAACTTTGCCATGACATTTTTTGTGTGGTATTTCAGTGTAGTACATATTACACAATTTTCGTCTTAAAAGGGGGTACAGAATATAAATGTATACTTACCAACCACAGCTATAACTGGTGCCCCTTCTGTTCTTGCTTTATCTTCAATATTTTTCTGATCACACATTTGCTGAAATAGAAAGAGCAATATTGAAATAAGTTGGTGTACAGGGTGCTACTTTCATAACAGCAAAATAGTTAACTACGGTAATTTGTTTGAAAATGCATTAAAAGAATACAACCAAGTACTGATATAGAGAGAGACCATCAGTGTAGGCTTACATAAAGACACCATAAACTTTGTGTAGTAATTTTTATTAATGGTATTATTAAAATAACTTACAGGATAATACTCGAGAAATCCATCTTCTTTGAAATAAGAAAATATAAGTTTAACAAAACATTGTGTGTCTGGATAATTGGTCTCTGTAATTTTTTTAAATTCTTCTACTTCTTCAAATATTTTTTTTATTTCTTTCCTTGACCCTTCTAGCTTTTCCATATACTTCAACAATGTTTTAATTTTTGATGAGGAATGAACAAAAAATTCACGCGGTAGATTCACACCTGTGAGTTTTTCGAAGTGTTTTAGTGCACAGGTTTTCGTAAAAAGAAATGGCCAGTTTTTTTCTATTTCAGCAATTGACATATCACCCCTTGAAATCTCCTCCCTTTGGAGGGGATAAGTTTTGTTCATTACTTCAGTAATAAGTGAAAAATCTACATCTGTGAATCGAGCTTGTCTTTTGAGAAACTCTTTTGAATCCAAATATTCTTCTCTTGGGATTTCTTCAAAAATGGCCTCGGTTAACCATCCATAGCCCCTTTTTGTGGCGGGAGACTTACTACATCCAGAGCCTGAAGACAACCTTTTTCTGTTCAAATTGTTTAACCTGTCTTGAATTCTATTGATAAAACTTGAATAGCCACTTCCGATTCTTGTGTCACCAAATCTGTCCATTAGTGAAGTTTTATAAGTGTCAACAAGTTTCGATGATACTATGTAAATATCTCTTGAAGTTGGTCTGCTGCATACACCTGTTATGTCATCAACAAGAATACGAACTACCTCTCTTCTGTCTGACTGTGACGGTGACCGATTATTTTTACAAGATGTTAAAAATGACTTCGGAAATTTTTCCCAGGGTATTAAATAAGATGTAGCCCATGCAGTTTGACATGTAGGCCTACTTCGGCACTCTGAAGGACCTGGACTTTCATCTGTACTTGAATCAGATACGCCCATGGATGCTATTGAACTAGCGGCTATTGAACTAGCAGTAAAGCTGATGCTACTGTTTGGACTGTTAGGAGGTTGTAAAAGTGTAAAAGAGCCACCCTCGCATACAGGAACCTCTACAAATAATAAATATAAGATAGTTTAGATTAAGTTTACACTATCAAATTGTAGTTTAAATAGACAATACTGGTGTTAGTCATTATCAGGCTGACCATAAAAATATATGTTTTTTAAGATTTATTTTTTAAAGTCAGAGGTGTTTTGCTCCGAGTTCGATTGATTGATATTGGGTCTTGAACCTTTTCCGGCGGTGGGGGGACATTCGTCTTCTTTATTGGCAAACAAATCAATACCAATGACATCATGATTTTAAATGATGCATGACTCGCACATGATTTGCCACGAACTTGAAGTGTGAATTTTCTTCAACACATTTTTAACAATCGTGCGAGTTGTGCCTTCATTTTTCTCGAAAACGGATATTGAATATATCCTCGACATGTTAAAAACGACACTCAACAGTCATACAGGCAGAATCATTTCATGGAATGGACATGCTTTCGTCTGCAACCATAATGGGTCACAAAAGGTTAATAAAATACTGTAATCAATTAAAGTGTACATCAGTGGTGGCTATCTCATGCTTGGCAGCGAGTAATAATCGAGTCAGAATTTAAAAAGATGTTAACGGAGTAGCTGTTTATTGCATCCTTAATAGTTAGATCAAGATTAAAATTTGGGCTAGTGCATTTAATTACAATTTGATGGCTCAACTGTCTTGAGGCTAATGCACACTTACTGTAACAAATATTTTGCACATACATTTTTAGCACATTGCTTCTCTGAATAGGGCAATATATAAGATGCTTACAACAGATTGAGTAGGCCTTTATTATCTTTTAATGTGTGAAAATATCATCATGTCTCTGTCACATATGGGAGGGAACTCAAGACATTCCTCTTTTTGGCAGTTTAGTTTTCATCTATCAATGCAATTTGACAAGAGATTATTTCTTACAAAACTAAATACAGTTGCTTTAACATACCTGCTTCTGTTGACTGTTTAATTATTTTCAGGACCTTGCGGGCTTGAATAAGTGACATAATATTGATATCAATTAGATCATTAATTTCAAGGTATTTTAAATCATGTTCCTGTTCTACTCCTATGGCATTTAGTTTCTCAACCAAAAGCTGTACGTAGTTGGTTATCACTAAGAAAAACACATTGCTCCCTTAGATGATTCAGTATAGAATTGGGTGTTTTAGCTGAAATGAAAGAAATGCACTCTACAATCCAGCAACAAATTTTATCACAGGTTCACTTCTAAATCCAGATAGTACTCCTATTACAAACAAAACTACAGCAAAATCCCATGTCATAGTTCTGAAAGGTGTTAAAAAAGTCTCAACAAATGTCGGAATAAGTTTTTGAGATATGATAGAAAAAGCTGTTCGTCCAATCTTTAAAATATATAACGCAATAAAAATAATGATCAACATTTTTAAAAGCATTTTATTTTTGTGGAAGTTACAACCTTACTACAGTTCTGAATTTTTGCACAGAGAAGCCTCTCAATGTGATTATGCAAAAAAAGGTATTTGAGTCATAGACACAACTTGTCACAAGCAGGTCACAGTGGGTCAATTTCGAGTTGCGTAATAATAAGCAGACATTCCAAAATTTTGTGTTTTTACCCTCTACATCTGCGTGACTTACAGTATCTCAAAATACCACGTTTTGTGAACAACCCTATTTTAAGCGTCATTATTTCATTGATAGGCCTACCGGTACTATATTTAGTCTTATTACTGACGACTGGATGTTAACGGCATGTCTGGTTGATAACACGGTCATTTCAATCTTTCACTTCGACAGGAAGTAAACAGAATACTATCGCTATGAAAGCCAGCATTTGATTGGCTGAATGTAAACAGTATATCGTGTTAGCCAATCTCAAGTCTTGTATGAAATGCGTTATTGCTTCCAGTAGGATAGCTATGTATAGAAGGCTTACTGTATGCACTTACGAATGAAATAAGAAAAAATATAAAAACCCACGAAGACTACGTGCAGTAGAGGTGTGTAAATGCTGTGTGAAGCACATAAATTGTACAAACTATGACATAGAATAATATAATTTTCTCACATCAACGGCAAATTCTGTGTGTAAATTACGCAGCGTCCATCAATATTTGCATTAATTTTTTTTAAAAATGCGACCTCTGGACACAAGTGGCACTTACAATACAACCTTTCAGAACTATGCCAATATGGCATCGCTATGTCACATGTATGTGGCCTGGTTAAAATCGCCACTTGACTTAGTATATTTCTATTATACTTTGAGGGATCATATTCATTATCTATACATCTGTCTCCATTGTTGTCATATTTCGATTTTTCCGACTAAATCAAATTATTTACTTTTTTTTATGTAGGCAACTCAGGTGTGTATATGGTCAGTGACAGTAGCCTAGTATAATAGTATTGAATAGTTTTTCATGCGCGTGTCATGTTTGTGAAGAAAATAAAATGGTCATACTCATGGCATTGACAAAAACACAATATAACCAGACATATATTTTAATAAATCAATGATTTTTGTTTCAATCTAAGCCATTTCAATTCTTAAACACGAGTGACGAGCATAGGATAGGGAGGACAGGAAGAAAATGAAATAGCTTTCATGACCTCACGTGTCCTGCCTAGATCATAATGGCGGAGATTGACGTCATAGACATTTTTACTGCATGGAGAAAGCCGTTACATCTTTTCTAAAGAAATTTTGAATAATACTATATAAGTAGTTGACATTGTGTTGACAAATTACTAAACAAATCAATTTTTAATGAATTGATTGATATAACTGAAGAAACAGTTACCACAAAAATCAAAAGAATCACCAACCTGTTGAATTGTTCATCGCCATGCTGAGAGTGAAGATTTTCCCGCCACGAATCCGACGTCATTCAGTAATTCGCGACATACATCTCATAAATACACTGTCATAGTTTTAGTGCACAAAAGTTTCTGGTTTTAAAACATAATTAAATACTATAGACTGACATAAATAAAACATGAATTTGAATCAGAAACAGGGTATAAAATAATTTATATTTGTTCTTGTCTATTTTACGACAACTGTATCGAACACATAGCTGAGTTTACGTTGCGATAACTTGTAAACCATCGAGATAACTGTCATTCCGTGTTAAAATACATGGGAAGAGTTATATTACAAGTTTACTGTATACTGTTTACAGTTAAATTGATAGTAAATTTACGATGATTTCTAACAGTGACTCATGTCTTCACGACAAACAGCCTGTATATTCATAGAATAATACCCCTTCCTGTTTATGAAAACCTGTTTATCATTTCTTGGGGGGGCTTTTATTTCAACGTGAGTGCCATCGATAAAGCCAATAATTCCAGGAAACCCATTCTTGTTGAAATAATAATTACTTATTACTGCCTTTTCTTGATCATTTGGCCATTTTATATAATGTCTGCGCAAATGAACTCCCAATGCATCAATGACATTGCCTATACATTTAATAACAGTCGACTCGGTTATGTTAAAACGATCTGATATCTGCTTTGATGTGTCCTGGGAACCGAGGTACCAGAGAGTTACAAGAACTTTTTTCTCAACTGGGACAGGTGGTTTTCCATGCGGAACTTCTGGCTCTTTTAAAGATGGGCACGTAACTACTTGTCTGCATAATATCTCGTAAGTGGATGGTGCCATTCTAAAAAGTTTCTAATTGTCCACTATATCTGTGACATAGTTGCCAATCTTAATTCTGTCTGATCGCATTCTGAAATTATAAAATGGAAAACTAGAAAATCCGGCCTGGCAGGCCCCCTTTTGCTCGGGTTTACAATTTTATAATCTCGCAAGAATATCCAATATGACTGGCGAAGGCTTATTAAATTGACCAGTTGTAGTCTGGAATACGTAACGATCGAGGGATAGAACCTAGTTTTCTAAAAACAGTTGTCTGTCTCAAAATCAGGCATAAACTAAATTTTATTTTGAATTTATTTTTTTGCCTATCTTCAAAATACAGCCCATAACCGGAGATCCAGATATTTATTATACCCCCAAATGATTAATTTAACCGACTTACAATGTTGACAATAAAGCAATATTTCGTCTTCTTTTGACGTGCTCTCGCTGTCAATTTGATGGATCCAGGAGATTCTCTAGAATCAAAACTAGAGTTACAGTCGCCATTTTGGTTCTCCACCTGTACTCGATTACACCGTAAACGCGGACAATCCGGATTGGAGAACGTGGAGAGTCCGGACTGCATAATCGAATTGGCCCAAAGGCATCCGAGAAGAAATTGGATGATGAATTGGATGCAAAAGTACTTGTCAGAGAAATAGCAATATCAGGAAATGTTGTTAATTCTACGAATCCCATCCCATACGTACTTTGATGTGGTACGGAAATTGGGGCGTAACCTTGCCATGAACATGTTTTTGTTGGCCGTATGGTTCTACGCGCCATCACCCGGACCATTTGCTATGTCCATGGTAGGACTATTCTTAAGGCGCCTCAGAATCAGCGGATTTTCAATCCTAAATATACCATGGTTTATTGAAACGTTTTGGTTCAGTCGTGGTATTTGGAATCGCCTGGTGTGAATAAGGCCATGGGTTTGGTTTTCCACCTGCAGCTTCTATTTTACGCCCCCACCCTGGGGTGTAAGGGGTTATAACAATATACCCATTGTATGTCCTGCGTGTCGTAAAAGGCAACTTAAAGGATCACTGTAATGGGGCAACGTGTTTGCCGTACGTTGCCACCTGTGTCGGTGAAAACATTGGTAATTAAGCGAGGATTTGGCTTGCGATTCGTTTCTCTGCAACACATTATAGGTTCACCTATACGAAAGGTCAGAGTGGCTCACTCTGATCAATCGACTTTGGTCCTTTTTCTAGCTCTTTAGAATTTACCTTTTCCGATTGTACAGCTTTGTTGTTTTTACACTCTGCAACTTAACCTTTGTGTCCTATCTACATTATTTACATTCCACATCAGGTTGGTAAGTTATTTTTACTTCTTGGCTTGGGTATACCCCTCGTCGAGCCCTGATGCCACGCGCTGCTTATCCGCGCTAGACCCCCCCCCCCCCTAGTAGGGCAGGCAGTAGCCCGGGGATGAAGAGGGGTGAATACAAACAAAATACGTTCATGGAGTTCTCAATTCCACCCCAATTATTGAACGATAGAAACAGAAACGTCATGATTCAGAGGACGTTTCTAACATATTCAAAAATAAAATGACAAATTCATGGCCAAGTTTTCTCTTGATTCAGCGCTCCTCTACTATCTAAAGTTTCACCTTTTTTATAACCAATTAGGGCATTGCACTGATCAATAAATTCCAGTTGTGATTCGCTGTCGGTATCTTGAAGGCAGACGTGAGGATGAAATGGTGCAATACCTTTCATCACAAGGTGTACAACATGTAAAACCAATAAGAGCGCGCCATGGAGATAGGTGATTCCTACAAGCACCTATATTTTCACGTTCAATTGTCCTGACACACCGAAGTCTCACAAGGCAGGTTATTTATACATACCTGTGGATTCTTATAAATCAAATTCTCTTCGTTGCTACAAATGCCAAAAGATCGGACACAGCAAAACTGTCTGCTGGGGTAAAGATAGGTACGCTCGCTGTATTCATAATGGCCGCGATAGTGCACCTGCCAGGCTGAGGTTTGTTGTGTAAGATGTAAGATAAAGCACTTTGCTTATTCCCGTGAATGTCCTATTTCCCAAAAAGAGAACAGAATCAACAGGGTATGCCCGAGCGTAAAATACCGTATTTTGATTCGCGAAAGCGGTGTAGCACTTTTGCCTATTGCACCACAATGGAAATCGTTCTCAAATGGAGTAAAAGTTTCTGCCAAAAACATATCTGTCCAGACAGACGTAACCTGGCCTGATCAAGAGGAAAAGCCCACTGAAATAACATATGATCATATTAAAGGGGTCTCGAACTTGTCTAAGACGCGTGACACCTCGGAACAAGGTACTGCGAGTCTACCTGTGAGTCTACCTTGCCTCCAACTGAAGTTGTCGGGATTAATCATTCTACTTCAAATTTAAATGGCAAGGAGGCACCTCTCCTATATCCCTCTAAATTATTACTTTTGATCCCAGGTCCACTGGGTAAGGATCACAGATTAAGTTACTCCACCCTCACAAGAGCAGGTAATACTACCAAAAAAAGACAATAAATAACAAAGTAGTGAGATGGGGATGAAAAAGGCTCTACAATAAATATAGGGGGTGATCTGATGCACGGTATTACCGTCAAAAATTAGCTATTCCTGACAATGGTAAAGTCCAACTATTAATTCAAAAATACAATCCTTTAGCTATTAGTTTACGAAAAACTTTTTTTAAAAGAAATCTGATACTTTGTCTTTTAGCCATGTTGTTAGCTATCATCAATACTCAAGTAATTCTCCCAAAGAAAAGTTGTCTATAGCGACTATAGCATACATTAAATTCTCCCCCCTTAACGTGACAGATAATGTCTAACGTCTAAGCATAAAAATCCTGTAATCTCATCTCTTCAAAGGTCAGCTGTAATATCCAAAGAATGCATAAAATCCTCTAAAAAAACTGATATCAATCAATTCTATCATCAGCAATATATATGAATATTAACCAACCACGGTTTTTTTTTTAAATTGAATTTAATAAGTAATGATAACAATAAATCAAAAAGTATAAATCAATATCACAGAAATCATATATCAATATCACAGAAATCAGAATCAGAGAACCTGTATAATCATACAGTATCACAGTAATCAGAATCACTTAATTGGTATATAATCATACAGTATCACAGTAATCAGAATCCAAGAATTAGTATTTGTAGATTGGAATCAAATATCATAATTTTAAAAACAATACAAATCAGACTCATTTTAATAAAATATCTGTTTTGAAGGCTAAAAATACAGTTTTTGCCAAAATGACGTTACTTCCGGTGACAGTAAAATGTGAAATTACTTGTATGAAATCGTAAATAGCATAAGGTATCATACACTGGAAACTTTATGAAAATCAAATAATAATTGACACTTTTATGGACCAAAAACCTTGAAAAGTTACCTGTTGAAAATCGTCTATTTCTCCGCAACTGAACAAGTTAGAAACTATTTTGTGATATCTATATGATCGTACGAGTTCATTCTATTATTTGATTGGAATCAAATATTAAAATTTGAAACAAATAACAAATACGACTCATTTGAATAAATTACTGGTTTTGAAGGCTATAAAAACAATTTTTGTCCACATTACATCATTTTCGGTGACATTGAAAATGTTGAATTGGTTTGACCTAGTTAAAATTGACATTACGCATCAAATGGTGTCACTTTTATGAAAATCGAATAATAATTGACTCTTTTACAGGCAAACTAGCGTAAAAAGTGACTCATGCAAAATTGCCCATTACTCGACAATTGCTCATATTACAAACTAATTTTCACATACATTCTCTTCGTATGGATTATTGCTACTAGTTGATGAAAGTTTCGAAAAAATATATTAAAATATGAAAAGCCTGAATGGGTTGTGAATAGCTCATTTTTTCACCTTTTTTCGCCTTTAAATCGAAATGATCCGAAAACGAAATAAAAATTAAAAATAAACTGAGCGCGATGATTTCTGTGCCTTAACAGGGCACACCCTTTCAGTCATACCAGATTTGAAAAAAATAATATTTGCTTTCAAAAAGTGGTACCGAACTGTCAAAATTGCAGTTTTTGCTAAATTTACGTCACTTCCTTTATCGAAAGGAAAATGTACCGGTAACAAAAAAATGACATTTTGGACCACGGAGCATATGAACTTTGTTTTATACAAATAGAACAATAAATAATTAATCCAGGACTGATAAACTGAATTAGCCAATGGGGGGCCAAGGAAAAATACGGTGACAAAAAATGTTGACATTTTTGTTCAAATCAGATGACTCTTTAACCCTAGGTAAAATACCACATAAAAATATTCATTAATAAAAAAGTTTTTCGTAAAAATTTAAATTTTCAAAATTTGGCGTCTAATATCTCCGAAGATTCGTCGAAAATAAAAAAATGTAAAGAACTGTAGCTATGTGCCTTGTCTCCGGCTATGTCAAAATGTATCAAATATTACAATCCGACAATTATTGATAATATTACGGCAAAATTTCGAAAAACGACAACTTCGGCGATTTCGGACATTTCGCACTGTCGCAGAACGTTAGAAATAGCTTTAAAATTTAAATCAAACCCACTTTCCCAGTAAAACCGAAGACATCGAATCGATCCGACAAGTAGTTTCTGAGATATGCTCAAGTGGAAAAATAATAATAATAATAACTAGAACTGCGAAGCAGTAATGACGGGTTTCACCGGTGTCCCGTTACCCTTGAACATATGTCACTTCCGGTACCGATGAAACCATTAAACAGGTTTCCAAATAAGCATTGCACACATCAAATAAAATTGACGCCGAATCAACCAAATCCAGCAATATCAATTCATTTTATACATTTTTTATTTGTAAGTGTACAGTACTTCCGGTGATAATGAAAATGTTCAATTGGACACAGATCACTAAAGATTTTCCTATTGACTCCAATGTTAATTCTCGTATCTTAGACCGGCTCAAACTTTTTCCCAAATTTTCGTTGGGTAGAACGCTTTCTACAACAGATGGAGCAACATG